AAACTCACCAACCATTTTATCTAGTGATTTACATCATTTCCTTCAATCAGTATTTTATAACATCTGCCATACACTGGGTACTGTGATACAAATGGGAGTCCAAGATCAAGACATAGTCCACGTCCTCAAGGAGCTCTTGAATGAATGGAATAAAAAGATAAATACACCTGTAACTCCAGGACAGCATGACAAATACTACATTAGAGATATGCCCATGGGGCAGTGGGGGAATAGAATAGATAGCAGCACCTTGAAAGCCAAGCCTAGAGTTGAGTTTATTCTCAACAAAGAAACAGAATTAAACAGAGAAAATGCAGGAATGGAAATGGTGTTTTAGATAAAGAGCATGCAGAAAGGCAGTGATGACTGGAAACTACCACTACACCTTAGTGGAACTACAAACATTTTAATGAACCTAGAATCAAGGAGTTGTCTGGGTATAAGGAGGGCAGGTAAGCTAGTGAGGGGTAGAAGCTAGATGAAGGGCCTGTATATACTGAAATAGGAAAGTGACACGATCTCAAAATCGGTTTGGAAGTAACTGAAAGATTCTGATCAAAGGAACAATCAGATTACTCCTGACAATGCCTGGATATTTTTGATTGCATGACTGTTTCCTATTTGTATAATGTTATGGCTTCCCAGGTGGCTCAGTAGTAAAGAATCTGCCTGCCAATGCAGGAGATGCAGGAGCTGCTGCTGCTCCTAAGTAGCTTCAGTTGTGTCAGACTCTGTGCGACCCCACAGACGGCAGCCCACCAGGCTCCCCCATCCCCGGAATTCTCTGGGCAAGAACACTGGAGTGGGTTGCATTTCCTTCTCCAATGCATGAAAGTGAAAAGTGAAAGTGAAGTCACTCAGTCGTGTCCAACTCTTAGCGACCCCATGGACTGCAGCCCACCAGGCTCCTCCATCCACGGGATTTTCCAGGCAAGAGTACTGGAGTGGGGTGCCACTGCCTTCTCCGGAGATGCAGATTATTCAGGTTCAATCCCTGGGTTGGGAAGATCCCCTGGAGGAGAAAATGGCAACCCACTCCAGTATTCTTGCCAGGGAAATCCCATGGCTAGAAGAGCCTGGCGGGCTATACAGTCCATAGTGTCGCAGAGTCGGACACCACTGAGTAAGCATGCACAAGCTTGTTACTGGGATATGAATAGGGGATTTGCAATTAAATTTTTTAATTTGGACTTGGTTTTTTGGAGCTTATTTCAAAAAAATTCAAAATTTTGCAGTATTTGGTTAAGATGAAATTGTAGAAACCTGGTGCCACGTCACATATTCTTATAGGCTTCCAAGTATTCTGACCAAAGGAAAAGTTTTATATATGCCTATACCATAAATCAGCTTAAAATAGCCTCCATAACAATGTTTCATATTCTGCATAACACAAAGTGAATCACTTGGACAACAGCATGCAGAACAAGGATGCTAAAAATATTACCAGACATTACCTCGGCTTCCTTAGAATGGTCTCTACAATTATCTCACAATAGCACACAAGTTTGGTATCCTCAGGCAGACTTATAATTTTTAAAATGACCTTCAAATAAAGGTATAAAGATTTACCCCAGTGTCCCCAGAATGCTTCTGGGGGGAAAGCAAAATGATTCAACAGAAAAAACATAACCCTCAGAACTACTTAGATTGGGGTTCAAATTCTGATGTCCGCTTGCTAGATGTTATTGTATTATTTAATTTTTTAAATTTTGTTTCCTTATTTATAAAATGTTTATAATACAGATCAAATTTCATAGGGGCTACAAGTATATGCATGATTCAACTGCATATATAAACCTAATACTATTAGGCTTATAAAACATACCCTAGCAATACACCAAACAAATGCTTCTCAAAAAAATACCAGTTGTCTCTTTTTATCGTAACTATACTATATACTACTACCTCCCCCAGAAGTTTATTAATGACATTAAATATCAATGCTATTTTTTATAGGCACAATAAAGGCAACAAACTTACTGGAAGATAATTTCATAACCAGACATTTTGATTTTGTCACATTTTCCCCGAGCAGCCAGAGGAGCCTTAGCTGCTTGAACAGCACACACAGATTTTTCTTCCATCATGAGGTATAATTGATTACCTCCTTCTACCGTCAATTCCCAATAAAAAACTCTCAATCACATTAAAATTTTTTTGACAAATCTTCTAGCTTCACTACTAATTCCCTGTCCATGACAACTGTTATTCATATAAAAATATAACAAGCAAGAAACATAAATAGGTAAGATGAAATTGAAAGGAAACAGCCATGGACTATTTTCACACTCACTATATTATGCATAGGCTTCCCAGGTGACTCAGTGGGTAAAGAATCTGCCTGCGATGCAGGAGATGTGGGTTCAACCCCTGGGTTGGGAAGATTCCCTGGCGGAAGGCATGGCAACCCACTCCAGTATTCTTGCCTGGAGAATCCCATGAACAGAGGAGCCTGATGGTCTACAGTCCATAGGGTCTTAAAGAGTTTGGACACGACTGAAGTGACTGAGCATGCAGCAGGCACATTCTAAGATATGAAGTTTCATAAATAAAATAAAATATTGCATCTTTTAAGTCTACTTTATATAATGGTTTGGCAGGGTTACCAGTCTGTCACTATGAACTACCGCCACCTACCGTCACAGAGATGATAAGAAACCAAAGTAACATATGTAAATATCTAGAAGAAAAATGTTGGTCCCATTTTTTCATGTCACATTTATCATGTTATAATCAGTCCTGGGTGTTCACTGGAAGGACCGATGTTGAAGCTAAAACTACAATACTTTGGCCACTTGATGCGAAGAGTTGACTCATTTGAAAAGACCCTGATGCTGGGAAAGATTGAAGGCAGGAGAAGGGGACGAAAGAGGATGAGATGGTTGGATGGCATCACCGACTCAATGGACATGGGTTTGGGTGGACTCCGGGAGTTGGTGATGGACAGGGAAGCCTGGTGTGCTGCGGTTCATGGGGTCACAGAGAGTTGGACACAGCTGTGCGACTGAACTGAACTGAAATTGTCTTTATATGTGCATTCATATTACACTGCCTTCCTTCTTTCAGTTCTCAATGTACAGATCTGTACCCTCAAACACTTTAAGGACCAAACAGGTATTTGTAACCATGTCCATAGCAACATTAATCATAGTAGCAAAAAGGTGGAAGCAACCCATTCAGAGATTAATAGATAAATATGGCATATACACACAATGGAATATTATTCAGCCTTAATAAAAGAATGAAGTTTTGATACATGCTACAACATGGATGAACTTTGAAAGTATTATGCTAAGTGAACTAAGCCAGGCAAAAAAGGACAAGTACTGTATGACTCCACTTCTATGAAGTATCTAGAGAAAGTAGAATACTTATCTGGGGCTGGTGGAGAGAAGAATGGGTAGTTATTGCTTAGTGGGTGCAGTGTTTTCAGTCTGGGATTCTGGAGACAGTGGTGATGGTTAGACAACAATAACAATGTGCTTAATGCCAATGAACTGGACACTTAAAAATGCTTAAAATGATAAATTTTATATGTATATTTAACCACAATAAAAACATTTTTTAAAAACTTCATGACTGGGGACTTCCCTGATGGTCCAGTGGCTAAGACTTTGCCCTCCCAGTGCAGGGGGCCAGGTTCGATCCCTGGTTTTGGGAACTAGATCCCAAATGCTGCAACTAAAACCTGGTGCATCCAAATAAATAAATTCAAAAAATACACAAACAGCACTCAAGTGTTTACAATAAAATCATGATTGTTAAAAGATATATATATAGTAATGAAATGGTATACACCTGATCTATCTTAAATAGGGCATGGCTAGGATCTTGAAGTTAAAAACAGCAAGGAGGTAGATTTCAAAGAACTAGAGTTGGGGTTCTAGGGGGCGAAAGGGTCTGCAAATGTGAAGTTAAGAGCCACCTTTAAGATTTGACCGTTTTACAAATACATTTTAATCCTGGGCCTATTCTCTCCATATCACCCTGTTTCTTTTGGTCTTTTTCTGACAGCATGTTTTGCTTCCAACAGAGGTTCAGTTTCAGTCTTTCCCCTAGTACTCTATCCTGAAAGTAAAAACCTGGATGTTCTAAGGCGATGCTTCTCAACAGGGGTGATTTTGCACCCCAGGAGACCTTTGGCAATGTCTGGAGACATTTCTAAGCTGTTTCAATGGGGCTGGGGAGCAGGGGTTGCTACTTGCATCCAGTAGGTATAGGCCAGGCATGCTGCTAACCTTCCTTAGACACAGGATAGTCTCTCACAACAAGAAATTAACTGGCCCAAAATGCCTATAGTGCTGGGTTGGGAACCCTCTTCTAAGATCTTATTCTAAGGGTTTTTTTTTTTTGTCTTTTTTTTTTTCCCATTTATTTTTATTAGTTGGAGGCTAATTACTTTACAACATTGCAGTGGTTTTTGTCATACATTGAAATGAATCAGCCATGGATTTACATGTATTCCCCATCCCGGTCCCCCCTCCCACCTCCCTCTCCACCCGATCCCTCTGGGTCTTCCCAATGCACCAGGCCCGAGCACTTGTCTCATGCATCCAACCTGGGCTGGTGATCTTTATTCTAAGGTTTTACCAAGTTGCTTGATTTCTGGTAGAAACTGATTAAAATGGAAGTACCTCCTTTGATTCCCTACTTTCTCTTTTCATTTACATCTTTTATAGGAAAAAGCTAGTTTCAGCACATATGCTAAGGGTAGGTCTTTTATTTTGAGTTTACAGGACAAGGATCAGTGGTTATGTTTATGACAAGTAGGGGTAGGTGAGAGGAGGCTATTTATGCTACCATTCTCCTTACCCCGGCCAGTCCTACCGTGATACTCTATGCCATGGGGCGAGGTGAAAAACAGAAGGGACGAGCTGTTACAGACAGAGAAGAAGGGAAAAAATCCACGTGAAGCCAGTGGAAAGCAGTGCCTATCCCATGTGGATTGGCTAATTCTTTCCAGTGGCCACTGGATAAGAGGAAGTATCTATGAATCCAAATTAAGTTATAACAAAAAAAATTTTAATTCAATTAAAAACTTAAATCATGAACTTTCTACAAGATACTACTTTTAAACTCAACATTATGTTTATAATTACTTAAAACTTACATTTCTTCTGAGGAGCAAATATCTAATGAATGTATAATACTAGTGTGTCAATAACAAGATACTCAAATACTTTCACTTTTATTTTCCTCTTGTATCATACTAAATAACAGACCTCCTGTAGCAAGTATAACTCATTTGGTGTAATTTAGGAATTTCAAGAAACTACTGAACATTCTAGGTCACTAGACCATTATAGTAATTCATTATCATAGTACATATTAAAATGGTACCTTTTTACAAACACTTTCGAAAACTGACAATACATACTAAATACCAAATATATACACACCCTTTAACCCAACAATTCCACTTTCAGGTATAGATTCAACACAAATGCATGTATACACTCACAAAATGATAGGTATAAGAATGTTCTCCACAGAATTATTCATACTAGTCCAGAACTAGAAACTATTCAAATGCCCATCAATGACAGAAAGGATAAATTCTGCATATAATGAAATACTATTCAGCAATAAGAATGAATGAACTACAAATACACGCAACAATATGAATGAACCTCACTTGGGCAGGTTAAGTAACTACCTCCTAAAATACCTAGGATTGAAGCCCTGAAACCTGTAAATGTTACCTAATATGGCAAAAGTGATCTTGTGGATGTGATTAAATTAATGATCTTGAGATGAGGGATTATCCTAGATTATCCAGGTGGGCCCTAAGTGTTGATGCAGAGGAACATTTGACTACAGAAGAAAGATGATGTGATGATAAAAGCAGAAGTTTTGAACAGAGGAAGAAGCCACAAGCCAAGGATTATAGGCAGACCCTGGAAACTGAAAAAAGATAAGGAAATGGATTCTCCACTTACAATTTCCAGATTCAGGAACCAATCTTGCCTCTGACCTAATAAAACTGATTTTGGACTTCTGATCTTCAGGACTGCAAGAGAATACATTTGTGTTGTTTTAAATTCCTTAAGTTTGTGGTATTTTGTTACAATGGCATCAGGAAATCAATACACTCAAAAATAAAACAATGAGCAAAACAAAGAGTGTATTATGTATAACTGCATTTACATACAATAAAAGAAAAGCAAACTGATTTTAGAAGTCAGAATAGTAGTTACTTCTGGGGAGGAAGAAGAAAGTGTGGAGATAGGGGCAAAATTCTGGGGTGCTCATAATACTGTTTCTTAATCTGAAGGTGGCAAAATGAATATATTTAATTCGTGAAAACCCTTATTTATGTACTCTTCTACATGTATGGTATATGTAATTTTAAAAATTGATGTCTTTTCAACACTTATCAATCTGATAGTCTGCTGAAAAAGACAGACATATTCAAGGAGGTGGGGAAAATACTTACCAAATAACTTTATTTCTCAAGAATACTAAAAATTTTGTCTCTCTCCAAAGATTTTAAAAATCTTAACAAAAGACAGAATATAATAGTTAATTGCTAAAAAATAAACTAAAACACTGCTGAATTAGCTCTGTTATGCCTGCATCCTAGGACTGTAAATTACAAAAATACAAGTAAAACCACATTTTCTGAAATAACAGTAAACAAAGGAGAAAGTCAAATACTATATACCAAAAGATCAAAATTGTTCTGGGGGGACTAGGATTCTTGAAACCAGTAAAAATGGTAGTAATAGAAATCTCATGCCATCAATCTGTACAGATCATTAAATATAAAAACAATTTATAAAACACATCAGATTTTATTGCTTGAAGAATACAGCATATGAAAATCACAAGAATGTCAAAATGAAAGTCACTAGGATTTGAACATATAATACATTATCAGATGCAGTAAAATATTAATTAACCTGAACTCTGCATCAAAAAAAAGGTATGGAAAATATCTATGTTTTTTCCTAAGAAACAGATATACTTAAAATAGAAAGTATAAGGATGTTACAGTACAAATTAGAAAAGCCAACACTTATTAACTTTTATTTCTTAGACTAGACTACCTTTGGTACTTAAACTTTTAAAAAACAATCCCTTCTATCTTGTTCAAACACACTCATGGATACAGTATCAACTTTAACTCAAAACATTCAGCAGGATTAACCTATTTGTGGCATGTAAATTTATTTATTATTTATTTAATAAATGTGTAACAATATTTCACTTTTTCTAAAACTGCAAAATATGATCATTAAGAATATGATCATTAAGAAATCTAATACTTGTACATTTGACTTATTTAGCTCTGCAATTAAAACTGGAATTCTAGCAACCACAATCTATCTTTAGACCTGGTGAATACACAAATTTAAACAATTTGGCAACTGACATAGTAATTTAGATTACTTCATACTATCTTAAGTGGCTTTTCCATTTTGTTTTCAAAATACAAACACAATAGGCCAGTTCTTCAAAACACTGGATTCCTATAAAAATCACTATTATACTTTACTTATTAGAACCAAATTAAAGCTTTTCCCTTTTAACAAGCAGGTTAAAATTATTTATGTTTCATATAGGGCTAATTAATTATGACACATTTTCTTAAACAAAACAAAACCAATCATTTTTTAAAGCTATCACTTAATTATGATGGAGATAATGATGCCATTTCAAAGGAAGTATTGGACACTCTAGGCCATCTAGTCAAGAAACTGTAAAAGTAATGCTAAAAACAAACAACAAGGAAACTATAACTACAAGTTAAATTACAAAAAGAATCCCCTCTTATCGCAAGCATGCTCATTAACTGTCATTTCTTTCCTCTAGGAAAGGTCTTAATATTCGTGAACCAACCAATGCAACCTAAGCAATTGTTTCACAAGATGGACTAAGCAAGTAATACTATTAATGATTACTGGAGTGAAATACTAAGAATCATGACAGTCCTCAAAACTGGGCAGTCTTTGAAATGTAATAGTGTAGCTGAAGATGAATTATGCTATAATGAAACTTAAGTTTTTAGCTTTATATAAAATAAAAACAAAATTGAAAACATAACCTACCAAATTTTATAACTACTATTGAACATACTCCTTCCTAGTTTTTGAATGCCTTGTTTTGAGATCTTTTTTAAACAAGTGTATTTATCTGAGCATGTATGTTTATTGCCTGTATATATATACTCATTTTAAAAGACAAAATCCAGATACTGCAAAACTGAGCTTTGTTTTTTCACCAACCTGATCTAATGTCTACTATATCACACAGCACCTCCCCTCAATAATTTAAAATTCCCAATTTTTAGTTTAGTTAAAAGGGCAGAGGAAATGCAAATGAAGATTTAGAGCTTCTGTATAAATTTCACTGTATTTTTATAAACTTGAAGTTTTCTGTAACACTGTTTATTGATCAAACAGACTCACTGCTATCTAAAATTTCATAAACACCATTAAAAATTCAAAATTGATATTATACTGAACCTTAAATTTTCAACAGTTCAAAGAGACAGATTTTACATGAATAGTACACAACAGATGAAACTTAACAGCAGATATCCCTAGAATACCAATGGCAAGTCCACCAAGATGCAAAATTACAGATAAGCATTTTTTCACTGTTTTCTTGTGCAGGGAAAAACATTTTACAGGAAATAGAAACTCAGCTGGTGAATTTCAGATATCATCATCGTCTTCTTCATCCTGAGAAGATCCTGCCTGGTTGGATGCACTTGCTGATGCAGCAGCAAGCTGTGCTTGTTGGGCAGCTTGCTGCATTTGAAGCCATTCCTGTTGGGCCAATTCCGCTTGTTGCTGTCTAGCCTAAACACAAAAAACATTAAAAAAAATTTTTTTTAAACCTGTAACATGCACACTTTGTATATTAAGCCAACCATAAACTTAGTCATTATTAAATTGGGTATTTTCCAACCACTATAGTTGTTGTACATCAAGACATTAACTTTGTAAGAAAATATAATGAGAGACTGCTGCTTCTCAATTCTCTTAAGGAGAGTTTCCAAAAGTTTCCATAAAAGTTTTCTATAAAAGTTTCCTTTTATGTCACATAATGGTTCAACTGAAAAACTTAAAAAAGTTCACAGAAAAATCACGACATTCTCTCTCTGGTTTTCTTTTCCTTGTGTGTGCCTCTCTTTTGTTTCACTTGACTCTTCTTCCCTCTCAACTTATAATTTTGATGTAAATACTTGTAATCTAAAAGTTGTATCTGTGGTTTAAAATATCACTAGTACAGTACCTCTGTTACAAAAAAGTACTGAACATGAATGCAATAGCTATCCTGATATTTCTTTTAAGTTTCTATCATAGTTCCCTACCCTATAGATACATTTCTTTCTTCCTCTGCCCCTTTCCCCTCTTTATAAATGCACATATATGTATGCGCACACACACATACATACAGAACATAGCCTTCCCACATACAAACTAGTGAAAATACTTATCTAGTACTGAATTTGAGGATAGTTAAAATCCATTCATTTGAAATAACCTCTATAAAAACTACCACTGGATCTGAGAAACCAAGGTATACCCACAGGCATTACATGCTCTGTTGTATGAGCTAAGGTTCCTTCCCAATTTAATTTCATTAGCAGAAAAATTATACCAAGAAGGGAAAATGAATCTGTTCTTGAAAAAAATTACATAATTTCCCATTAAGAGTTTACCAAAACAGTGTTGTTTCTCCATTTCTGACTTTTTTCAGAATTAATCTTTTAGCCTGGCTCGTTCCCTCATTTAGGAATGGCCAATTGCTAGCCAGTATTTAAAACACACATCAGTTTTCTTGATCTTTCTAGGTCACATTCTCCGCTCTATTTCATAGTCTACTATTCTCTATGCATTCCCCTACCTATCTATTTTGTTCTCTAATTACCTGAGTATATTATCTTTTTTCTCCTCTAGACTTGAGAATAGAAAATGTTTCCATATTCATTGTTGCTTTCCCAACATACAGGCCCCAAAGGGTTTCTGAATGAACGAATGTTTTGTGGGAAAACAATAATGCTCAGCATAACCTTAAGATTAAGATTTTTTACCATGTACATTTCTAACTTTTCTTAATAATGTTATGCATTTATTATCCAAACATTCCCTGGGGATAATTATAATACATAAAAAAATCATTTAATTGTTACCAATTAAGTCCAAATTTCTAAGCCTAGAATTTAGACCCTCCAAATTACGGTGTGCTCCACTATATTTTCTCTAGTCTTCTTTCAAAGCATTTATCTTGTGCTAAAAAAACAAAACAAAAAAACAAAAAAAATCCCACCTAGAACATAAAATGTTTTCTAATTATACTTCATACTCTCCCATTTTTGCTACCTTTACTCATGCTGATAGTCATTCTTTTTGAAATCTGATTTTCACCTACTGTAATTCCTCTCTTCCTTTAAGTACTCCTGAAATACTATTTTCTCTAGTAAGTTTGTTTCTGATTCCTTCCAGTATTATTTGAGGTCTAATAAGGAGACATAAGTCACACTAGTTAGGGAAACAGAAAGAATGTAAATATAAAAGATCATTAACCAAGGATAAAGGTTATAACTAGGTAATTGAAGAGGCGAAACAAACACTAAGATTTGTGCGTGGCAACTACAGGAAGCAGCCACCAATCTTAAAAGTGAAACAAGGGAAGAGGTTGAAATTTTTAAAACTTAGAAGGCTTGAGGAGCAAACCACAGAACTGAAACTCAGACTTCTGAAGAAGGAGTATATTTGGCTGGTACTACCATCTCTAAGTTTAGAAGAGGGCCCCAAGGTTTGAGACCCACATACCTGAGGAAGGGGATGCATGTTCAGGTTGGTTCTTTAAGTATTAGAGAAACTGCAAACCAGATTCAGTTGCTGCTACAGGAAAAAACTGATGCAGCCAGGGTGAAGCATTGCTGCGTTGCTCAAAGGAACCTGAAGCCAACTGGAAGTAAAAGAAAGGAACAAGTGCCTTCTTCCACCCAGCCATGTAATCTCCTTTCAGAGCCCCCCACTAGCAGCAGAGTCTAGGAAAGTCAGCTAGAAAAGCAGAAACATAGGTTTGCAGACTACTGTGCCCATTCTCAAAGCTAGCACAGGAAGGGGATTTCATGCTGGAACAATTGCTTAGTAACTGGCACACTTCTACATTAAAATCTGTACTTGGGGATCTCTTTATATCTTCCTCATGAGTAGTCAACCTCATATAACAGATGTTAAGATATCTATATTATACCTCCCTTCTGAGACAAAAATTTTTTTTGTGTTTGTTTAGGAAGTTAAAGACCAGGTATTTTAGCAACTACTTCAACCTATTTTTATAAAGAAATATGGAAAATATTTCCATAATACACATGCATATTTACTATTATGGCAGGAATACCCAGAGTTCAAAACAGACTAAGAATGCTTCACAGAAAATACTTGAAAATTGTAGAGCAAACCAAATATATCAATTTAATCAATTTAAGAACACCTACTCTGTGGCCTAATCAACTATAAATAGGTATAATTTTGTGGCACACAAAAAAATCAAATAATCTCAAGTCTCTACACAGGTTTTATTACAAAGCTGCTTTATCTCATAGTTTGTTCATTATCTCGTAGTTTGTTCAATGATCTTCAAGACATGTACTGGTTATATTTAAAATTTAACTGACTTTTTTAGGTACCATTGCCCCATATCAGCACCAATACTTTTCTCACTGAACAAAAAGGACTCTGATACCTTTAAAATCAATACTGACTAGTAAATATTGTTTTTATTTATGTCTATAAATTAAAATTTTCAGTGGTATTTACTCTAATTTCTTTCCTCCCATCTTGCTTCTTACCCAATCCATCCAAAGTATTTTCCTTCTAAAATGGAAGAGTGAAAGAGAAGTAAATAGGCATTACTTGCTAACCCACTTCTTCTGGAAATTTTCATTATGTTTTAAGACTCCCACTCCCACATGCTAATATGATTCATTTACAACTTACAGTTAACTTTAATTCAACATACTAGTGGTACCTCCTTTTCAAATATTTGCTGCTAGCAGTGAAAGACAGCTTCTCTAAAAGAGGCTGCTTTTTGTTAGTATATAAAATAAAGTCTAAATGATTAAGTGAAATGAAAGTTATGAAAAAGATGGTATAATAATTTATCAGTTCCATTCATATTTAAGACTAAAGTATTAATACTATGTGCTCTAAGAAAAGTACTAAGCAGCTACAGTAATTTTACTTCTCTTCTGATCTTTCTCACAAGAGCAAAGAAATACTAGGGTATTTTTTATCCATAGGTCAGGGCAAGATAGAAAGGAGATAAGGGAGCAAAAAAAAAAAAAACAACAGATGACAAGGGTAGAAAAGTGAAGACAGAATTTGCAGCCAGTAGATTATTTCCTTCATTCAACTTTTTCTCATAGAAATGATAAAGCACATTCATTCCACTTAAAAGTTCCAAAATAAAATTTAAGTAAACAAAATGGTGGCTAGAGTATTAGCATAGTATTGTAGAAAGAGCACAGGTTTTGAAGTCAGAAGATATCTACCCATTTCATTTGTCTAAGTCGATCCTTCCCAGTAAACTAAGCTTCATAATGACATAACCACGTCTCTTTTTTACACTGTTATAAGCTTAGCACCTAGCACTATATCTGGTAAATAGTGAAGACTTTAATAAATATCTGTAGAACAAATGATCTCATGCATGTCTCTCCATCTCTGAGTCTGTTTCTTAAAAGTGTAAATGAGTACAGTAAAATTTGTATTGTTCATTAAAAACTCTGTAAAGTATATAAAGTATTTAGCAGAGCATCTTTCCCTTTATCAAATATTTACTTTGGCACCCTGTAGGTGATCTACCATAGTAGAGACTCAATAAATAATAGTCACGAGCTTTTTAAAAAAAATTATCAATCCTCCATTGGTACCTCATATTCATATGGATTACAACACTGTTTGCATGTGGTCGTGCCTGCCTCAAAGGTTTCTCTACTTTAGCACCTATTTTCTATGTTGTTGTGAGGACTAAATAATACTGGTAAAACACTTGGCACATGATTAACACATGGTTAGAACTCAATAAACATTGGTAAGCTGTATCTTCCTTATTAGTTTAAATGGTATCTGGTGTCTAGTGCTTGATAACTTAAAATTTAAACAATTTTTAATATAAACCAAACTGGTTGTTAACGACTATAAAAAGATCAGTTATGGAGCTAATCTGGAAGAGATGACCTAAAATGGTATTTCCTAGTTCTAATGGTAATTACAGTAACTTGTAGCAATTCTCACCTCTTCTATTCAAACCAAACCTGTCTTTCATTTTCAAATGAGAAGCCAGAACTTTGTAGGGAAAAAACAGTCTCACTTCTCCCCCCACCTTTTTTTTTCATAATGGTGAATAGATTCTTGAACCTCCTCAAACTTCAGAATCATAATTTGGAAGATCAAGGTTGAAGTAAATGATTTCAAAAGTCTATTCCACCCCTAGAGTCCTGTGCTTCCCTGACACATCAATTTAACTCAGTCATTCAACAAATATTGAATACTCCCCCTGTGCTAGTTAACCATGTTAGATGGGTGCTAGAGATACAATTCAGAGAAGGCAATGGCAACCCACTCCAGTCCTCTTGCCTGGAAAATCCCATGGATGGAGGAGCCTGGTGGGCTGCAGTCTATGGGGTCGCGAAGAGTCGGACACGACTGAGCAACTTCACTTTCACTTTTCACTTTCATGCACTGGAGAAGGAAATGGCAACCCACTCCAGTGTTCTTGCCTGGAGAGTCCCAGGGACGGGGGAGCCTGGTGGGCTCTCGTCTATGGGGTCGCACAGAGTCGGACACGACTGAAGTGACTTAGCAGCAGCAGCAGCAGAGATACAATTAATAATAGGTCCAGCCGTCAGGGAGCTTACAAACTAATGGCAGGGACAGACAACTGTAAATGATCACACAGCACTACTCCTATGATGAAATAAGTATCTCTGAAGAACTGAAACACTGTATTTTACATCCTCTTTACCACAGAATCACCTCTGACCCAATGATTTAGGTCTAACTTTCAAGATCTTCCCACTGGAAAGTGAGTTCAATGCTTTATATCAAAAAAGTATGTACTCATAGACAGTTTGCTTGAGCAATCTGAGCATTTCAGTAGTACCCAGAAATGGAATGGACTATTTTCTTAAGCTGCTCTTGTAAATCTTCAAGTTCATAATTCCTTGCTCCTGCCTCTGCAGGGTAAGTAGGAAGGAGGTAGAGAAGATCAAGTGAAAATATCAGTATGATATCTCAGTCCCTGATGATAAATTTAGCCTTGGACAGTGATCTGCATTCTTAATAACCAGGTTATTAAGCGCTCAGTCTTATAGGGAGTGAATATTTAGTCATTCAAGGATCACTGTAGGGTTTCCCTCGTGGCTCAGTGTAATTCGCCTGCCAGTGCAGGAGACACGGGTTCAGTCCTTGACCCGGAAAGACCCCACATGCCGTGGAACAGTTAAGCCTGTGTATCCCACCTATTGAGCCTGCGCTGTAGAGCCCAGGAGCGGCAACTGCTGAAGCCTGTGTGCCCAAGCTCCCTGACAAGAGAACCCACCGCAAGGAGAAGCTCCCGCCCTGCTACTAGAGAGCAGCCCCTGCTACCTGCATCTACAGAAAAGCTCACATACCAATGAAGACCCAGCACGGCCAAACATAGATAATTTTTAAAAAGAAGAGAAATCACTGTGCACTGTAACCATCTTCTCCCCAGCTTCAGGGAACCTGGCAGAGGAGGAGGGAAGGCCAATTTTCCCCTCTCAATTCTTCTTCGTGTTCTTGCCCGTGGGTATTCTGGACCAGGCCCAGTGCATCCCATGCCTGAGTGGAAAGGACTGATGGAAAAGCTTTTTTCTTTGCATCAGCATGGGGAATATGTGCATATTGGTTGTTGTGTCATCCACTCCACGTGGAAGCTGTGCTGCATGCTGCATGGGCTTCTTCACCTCCTAATCCTCATCCCTAGGTATTTTTATCACGTAATGAATGCTGCCAGCCTTTGTTGCCTCTGCTGTAACACAAAGGCACAGAGAGCCATGGAGACAAAGGAAGGTAAGAGATACTACAGCAGTCATCTTTGGAAAATATGATCTTCCACAGAGGGATGCTCCAAAATACGTTACAGAGCTTGTTTCTACTCTCATCAAGGGACCTGGAAGGGAAGGAGGAAGGTACCCAGATTCTGACAACGGGCTAAGGCAGGCCAAGACGACGGCAGAACAGTGACACTGGAGGAATTCTGAGAGGCTAGTCACAAACTCCGCTCACGTCCAGCTCGTGGTGGCCTCCTTTTTTAAAAAATAGAGGGAAATAACAAATAGTTCCTGTTGCTAGTCCTCCACAGACTTGACATTAGGACAAGCAAAAAAGGAGAAAAGTTTTCTGCCTTTCTCTGTTCCACTGGCCCTTCAAAGCTTTTAAGATTAGAGTGTTTTAAAGGTGTAGTGAAGACCTAAGTTAACTAAAAAGTAAATGTTAGTCAGATTTTTTTAATATGCCACTTGTCTAAAAATTTGATAAAATATTTTCTCACCAGTCCATCAGTTTAAATCTTACGAATGTTTAGGTATACTTTTCATGCTTTTAAATGGTCATTCTACCTGAAAAAAACATCAAAGTAAAGTCTCAGTAGTCATTTGGAGTTGTTCTCTTCAGAAAACAGGTTGCTGCAAATATTTACTTTTATATAAAGTAAACAGTCGGCCAAATAGAGTCAAACTGGCCAGATCTAACATCAGACTCTATGATCAAACAATCAGCCACAAAAACAAAATTGTTTGGACATGCATATTGACTTGGGAAATGATTTAAGAAAACAGTATGATTTTGGTGTACAAAAAGGGTCAGATTCACATGAAATAATTTAATATGTGTTACTTACTTTTGCAAATAATTCCTGTTGCTGTCTCAATAATTCTTCTTCGGGAATGCCAAGATTTTCCAAACGAGAACTGGCCTTTCTTCTTTTTAATGCTACTGTCTTGCATTCTTGTAAGACTTCTTTTACTTCACTGATATAAGAGCCAAAGCCTAAACTTTCTAGTGCTGGGAAAATGAAAATATGAAAACATCAGAAAGTGATAAAATACTACTTTTTCTTCACTAATGGAATATTTTGTGAAGCTTGCCAGTGGGAAGGTAGGGGTAGTGGGGGGAGGTATTTGGAGGGGAAGACTACTGTCTTCTAATAATTTTACCTATTTTATGGTGTACAATAATCATCTGTATGACTAAGACAAAATATTTTATCAGCTTTCTTAATATTAGATTGCAAATTAGTTAAAACTTAAGGAACATATCAAGGCACAGGCCTTCACTTTTCAATTTTTTAAAAACTAAAGCATTTCCTGTAAGGGAAGAAAAAAAAGGCCCAATTTAAGAACATGTGGTTTTACTAAGAAAACATTTTTTCGTGTACCGCTCATAGTAAATAAATCATTAAGTCAGTCATTTTCTCAAAGAATACAAAAAAAGGAAATATTTGGAATATATTTATTAGGAAATATATTTAGAAAAAGTAGGCTTAGAAAAAGTAGTCTGGTAACATAAGCTTTAACTTACAGCAGGGTAGGAGGAAAGAATAGTTAAGTTCTTTTGTCTAATATACCAACAGGAAACTATTTTTAGCAAAGACACTCAATCTACCAAGTTTAAGAAATACTGCTGGAAATAACTTATGAAATTTGGAATTTATTCAGCCAAAGACCCTGAAAATCAAACTTAACAAGAAATACTGCAAAAATATTTAAAGTGATGTGGAAGAAAAACTGAGATAAAGGAGACTATAAGGATAAAAGAAACATCAACAAAATATACTATTTTTTCACATTTAGAAAGAAAAATTTATAAGAAAATAAAGCCTTCTGTAATCTAGAAAAACAAAGCATAAAATTTCCTTTTGGTTCACAGTATTTAAAATTATATAATTTTCGATATGTTGACTAATGCCCCAAAGTCATACTTTGCTTTCTGAACCAACAATGAAATACAGGTGGTAAAAAACATGGTAAATGAACTTAAATTATTTTTACAGACTTTCAACAGTTATGATGAACCAGACTTCCTCAGTAAAGATGCCCTAAGTTCTAAATCTAGGAATTTGCTTTTCAGGGAGAATACCAAATATACCTTTAAAATGTACATTCCCATGTAAGGTGAAGTTTTTAAAGGCATCTTGAGTGATTTACAGTTTTAAATTATTTCGTATGTTAAGCTGTTTTCACCAACCATCTTTAGAAATAACCTGATGTCAAGAAGTAAACTGCTACTACTTGAATTTTAACTCACAGACCCCATCTTTTGCCCCTCCCCAAATTTCAATAAGACATTATTCTGAGTTTTATTTACCAAATTACCTACCACCTAATTCCTGGCCTCAAGGAGCTTGGGGGTATAGTAGGAAATTAAGTGAAAACTAGGAAGCCTGAATTTTTTACTTGAATTGACAGACATTATTTTTTAAGTGTTAATGTTAGAAGCCAAAGTTTTTCATTTGTATTTTCTCTTTTTAAAGGCACAAGCATAGTAGTGTATTTTCAATAATACTGGCTGGAAATAATATCAAAAGAAACTAGTAAATGACTTATGTGTTCCACTACAATCTAAAGAAGTTTTATTTCTTTAGCCCTACAATAAAATCCTCCAGGATCTAGTCCCAGCTACCTTTCCAGCTTTATTTCTGCCATTAAATCCCTGAATACTTTGCTAAACCTGATCAACAGGCACTGGTTTCCCAAATTCATGCTGACAGTAATTCATTCACAATCCAGATCAAACTCTGTCTTCAAATTAAGCTTGCCTGATCCTCCTAGACAGAAATCCGCTCAATTCAGTGGCTCAGTAGTGTGCAAATCTTTGCAACCCCATGGACTGTAGCACACCAGGCTTCCCTGTTCATCACCAACCCCTGGAGCTTGCTCCAACTCATGTCCATTGAGTTGGTGATGCCATCCAACCATCTCATCCTCTGTTATCCCCTTCTCCTCCTGCCTTCAATCTTGCCCAGCATCAGGGTCTTTTCCAATGAGTCAGTTCTTTCCATCAGGAGTCCAAAGTACTGGAGTTTCAGCTTTGGCATCAGTTCTCCAATGAATATCCTGGGTAGATTTCCTTCAGAATGGACTGGTTGGATCTCCCTGCAGTCCAAGGGACTCTCAAGAGTCTTCTCCAACACCACACTTCAAAGGCATCAATTCTTTGGGACTCAGCTTTCTTTACAGTCCAAATCTCACATCCACACATGACAACTGGAAAAACCATAGCTTTGACTAGAAGGATGTTTGTTAGCAAAGTAATGTCTCTGCTTTTGAATATGCTGTCTAGGTGGGTCATAACTTTTCTTCCAAAGAGCAAACATCTTTTAATTTCATGGCTGCACTCATCATCTGCAGTGATTTGGGGGGCCAAGAAAATAAAGTCTCTCACTGTTTCCATTGTTTCCCCATCTATTTGCCATGAAGTGATGGGACCAGATGCCATGATCTTAGTTTTCTGAATGTTGAGCTTTAAGCCAACTTTTTCACTCTCCTCTTTCACTTTCATCAAGAGGCTCTTTAGTTCTTCACTTTCACTTTAGCTTCTTCTTCACTTTCGCTTATGTCATCTGCATATCTGAGGTTATTGATATTTCTCCCAGCAATCTTGATTCCAGCTTGTGCTTCATCCAGCCCAGCATTTCTCATGATGTACTCTGCATATAAGTTAAATAAGCAGGGTGACAACATACAGCCTTGATGTACTCCTTTCCTGATTTAGAACCAGTCCGTTGTTCCATGTCTGGTTCTAACTATTGCTTCTTGACCTGCATACAGACTTCTCAGGAGGCAGCTAAGATGGTCTGATAACTCCATCTCTTTAAGAATTGTCCACAGTTTGTTGTGATCCACACAGTCAAAGCCTTTAATGCAGCAGAAATAGATGTTTTTCTGGAATTCTCCTGCTTTTAGACAGAAGTAATCTCCCCTTTTTGAAAACAGACAGAATTTGAAACTTGGTTCTCACTCTATTTGTATAACCTTGAATATATCGCTTAATACCTAAGCTTCAATTTTCCATCTCTAAAATGATAACAGTGTCTATTTCATAACACTTCCTACAATCAGAAGCACTATAATGGTTAAGCATGCAGCCCCTAAGGCTGCCAGGAACTGACACCCAGCTCTTAGATTTAGCTGTGTGACTTAAGGTAAGTTCCTTTATCCCTCTTCTTAGAAAACAAGAATAACAGTACCTACATTTCATCAGATCATGTTAATATGAAAAATAAATGAATTAATACAAACAAAGAGCCAAGAAAAGAGTTTGGCCCACAGAAGGAACAAAATAAAGCATTTATTATTATATTATTGTACTTTATTACTTAAAGGGTTGGAGGAATCAACAAGTAATTAACTGAAGGCATTTAACACAATGTCCAACACAGAAGAGTTCCTTACCTAACTTGGACTAAGTATTATTCATCTTCAGTTTTTAAACTTATTTTTTCTTTTACATTTTAAAGAGTACACTAGTAAGTGTACAGGACCCAGATAAAGCACTGTTGCTGTTGTTGCTTAGTTGCTCAGTTGTGTCCAACTCCTTGTGAACCCATGCACTATAGCCCGCCAGGCTCCTCTGTCCTGGGATTCTCCAGACAAGAGATAACGAATGGGTTGCCATTTCCTACTCCAGGAGATCTTCCCAAGCCAGGGATCGAACTTGCATCTTTTGCACTGGCAGGAAGGTTCTTCACCACTGAGCCACCAGGGAAGCGACACAGCTACTACCACCCCATTAAATTCTAGCTAAACAAGTATATTAAATTTACAAAATTAACAAATCAATGCAACAGAGAGACAACTCTTCAAAAGTCATGAATTCAAAACTAGACATTAATAACTTCAGTCCAATCTACCTTAAACCATGGCGGTCCTGGGTTAAAAAAAAGAAAAAAGAATCACTACTAAAATCATTAAGGTTGAGAACACTGCTTTCAAAAGAAAACTGCAAGTAAATCCAAGGTTAACATTAAATATTATTGAAAAAGCTGTGCTCTCAACACTGAGTACACTGTACTCTCAAAAAAATGGTTCAACAAGAGCAGCCATAAATTTAATCTCAAAACTGTACTGACTAATCCTAATTTTAAACATATTTTGGCTAACAAATATGATTAACTGGATATAGCATTTTCTAAAGAGGGATATTTTACATCTGTTATCATGCAGTAGTAATACCCCCATTTTACATAAAGGAGAGTCGTGAAGGATAAGGGAAGTGTCTCCTAAGCAGGCCCATCTTAGCGTGCAGGTCGTTCAGTGCCCAACAGCAACGCATCCGAGGAGAGCCATTCACAATGTAAACATCACAGATCTGAATTCTTATTAGGGCACTTTTTCTGGCAGATGGTAATAAAGGTTTTCAAGGAAGGAGTATCTTTTTCTAATTTGTACAAAGGGATTTTATGGACTGCTGACGGCCCTGGCTCTAAGGATCTCAGAGTGAAAGCTAAAACAATAAAAATAAATAAAATGAATAATAGTACAACTATTTTTAAATTTGTGGATAAAACACATTATCACTTGTTTCTCAGAAGTCTGCTGACATCTACCTTACAGCATATTAGGGGGAAAAAAACCCTTAGCAATATTTTTTCAATTTCAAAGACAGTTATGACTACTTAAAAAAAAAAAAGGTAAAAATGTACACCCAACAATTTTAACATAGGTATATCTTATATTTTACAGTAATGATGTACTCCCCAAAAGTTTTGTTATAACATGAATTTGTGTGAATTATTTTATCCTTAAAAGGCATAGTGTATGCTTTTCATTTAAAAAAACTAAAATATAAAAAATGGCTTTCTCTAATTTCTCTATTTTCTTTTGTTTGTACGTTAGGGGAGGGAGGTGCTGTAGTTCACTTAAAATACATTGAGAAGGTAGGCCAAAGTGATTTCTTGGCTTAATGGCCTAACAAAGACCCTGAAGAATCATGTCATCTATGGCAGCTGCCCCCAAACATTTTGGCATCAGGGACCAGTTTTGTGGAAGACAATTTTTCCATGGTGGTAATGCAAGTGATGGCGAGTGGCAGATGAAGCTTCCTGCTCACCCACTGCTCACCCTCCTGCTGTGTGGCCCAGTTCTAAACAGGGGTTGGGGATCCCTTCTCTATAGTATCACCACTCCTGGGAATCCGGGACAACAATTAGAGACGGATGGCAGAGCAAGAATCAAATATCATTCATCTTTATATCCTTAGCAGTATCTAGCACAGTGCCAATCCAGAAGTTAACTGTTGGGTGGCAGAAGGAAAACAAAAACAAAAGACATACTGATTTTAAAGAAGACAGTAAAGTCCTAACTTGAAAAGGACCTGTGTGTGATAAATTGTTCAATGCAAATTACATGCGTCCCTTCAGAAAAAAAGTATCAGTATGGATGCTTATCTAGGCAATACAATGCTATTCTCATTATTATTACTATTATTACAATACAACTTCTTTGCAATCACTTAGATCCCCTGACTACAAAACTACTTCAAATCCACTTTCCAAAACAGACTGTGGTTGAAGCTTTAGAACAAGGATACTAAAGTATGATCTGTGGATTTGTATCACAACTGCATGTAATTGTCTGCAATGAGTTAAGTACAGAAACTCAAAGTAAGCATTTTAAGAGCCTTTACAGCAAAACTGTAGCTATGTGAAGTGATGGCTGTGTTAACTAATTTTATTGTGATAACTAATTCATAATATATACACACATCAAATCATTAGGTTGTAAAACTTAAACTTACACAATGTTATATGTCAATTATAGTTCAAAAAGCCAGGGGAAAAAAGAAACTTCACAGCAATTTGACAGTAATTTTATTTCTATTGAATGCAGTATCAAAATGTTTCATTTTGTTTTTTTAGTGACTCATTTTTATTGTATTTTACCAAGTACCAGCGTGAGAGGGATTGGAGCAATACAACTGCTGAAGTGAATCCTCAGAGGCTTTTTCAAACTTTGACTAACTTGCAGTTACTATTCTCAAAAAAGTAAGAAAGAAAATGTAGCAACAGATTTAAAATGCAGAAGTAAAACTAATATCATTTAAAATATTCCTATTTACACTTTCTCTTTATAAATGGCATCATGACATAAGGTTAAACATAACAGACCTTCAGCTTTACATTTTAATCAGTATCATATAGTTTTTAAATTATAATTGTAGCATATATTTCATATAAGTTTCTCAATTCTGACTGATTCTCAATAATTGCTAATTATACCTGAAACCATTAAGTATTAGTTACACATAAATGGGGAAACCTTAGTTAACAGATTTGCCTAAGGCCAAACACTTCACAGTACACTTTGCAGTTCTTAACTCTCAATGTCAGTTCTTTCCATAATGCAACAGAACATGTTAGAACTCATTTAAGAATGTGTTCACAGAAACCCAGAAACAAAATAAAAAATTTTTTAAGTGTAGAACTCCCTCTATTTGTGTGTATGTTATCTTCAATGCCATGTTCTTAAACTCAAAATAAGCAAAATATTTACATTAAAATTTTTTAAAATTTTAACTAGATTATATAATTTCAGATTTACTGGCAATAAAATTTTTCAACTTTATCTTGCATTTTACAAAACTGCCTCCAATGCTTAATTTGCTCTGAGAAGGTAAAGCCAAGTGGCAAGTGAAATGTCCTGAAGCAAAGTCTAGTTCATTAAATGTATTACTAAAAAATTCCAAACTTAAATATGTTAGAATCAAACCACTTTATTTTTTTTTTCTATTATTTTTCTTTTTTTCTTCTTTTTTTTTTAATTTTTATTAGTTGGAGGCTAATTACTTTACATCATTGCAGTGGTTTTTGTCATACATTGAAATGAATTAGCCATGGATTTACATGTATTCCCCATCCCAGTCCCCCCTCCCACCTCCCTCTCCACCCGATCCCTCTGGGTCTTCCCAGTGCACCAGGCCCGAGCACTTGTCTCATGTACCCAACCTGGGCTGGTGATCTGTTTCACCCTAGATAATATACATGTTTCAATGCTGTTCTCCTGAAACATCCCACCCTCGCCTTCTCCCAGAGTCCACAAGTCTGTTCCATACATCTGAGTCTCTTTTTCTGTTTTGCATATAGGGTTATCGTTACCATCTTTCTAAAGTCCATATATATGTGTTAGTATACTGTAATGGTCTTTATCTTTCTGGCTTACTTCGCTCTGTATAATGGGCTCCAGTTTCATCCATCTCATTAGAACTGGAATCAAACCACTTTAAAATGTACATTATTCCACTTGGATATATCTTACATTACTAAATAATCAAATTGACAGAACAGCATAAAAAAATGTCATAATCAGTTTTCCAGAGTTAGTCTATAAAATTACACTTTAAACACCTAAAAAAATACACACCTTAAGGATTTCTTTTAAAAAATTTTAATCACGCAAGACAAAAATTTCTTTAAATGACTAAGCAATATGAGATTATAAATATATAAAGTCTATCCCTCTAACTGGGGAGAATTTGGGGTTAAAATGTACATCCTTATCTAACACTTAAGAACAGCAATGTTACAAGAAAACAAAAGTAATTTTATAATGCTGTAACAGGTCAATACATTATTTTTTTTAATTAATAAATCATCCTCAGTACATAAGGAAAATGCTTTCACTGGAACTTTCTGACTCAAACATTAAACTGAATTTAGCATATTCCAAAGTTGAGCTATTTAGCTAGCATACTGCTAGCTACAGCTGCACTTTTCTTCCATCATGTCAATCAGAAATCTAAATATATCCTAGAAAAGAATAAACTCTACCCAAGAAGACAGATTGTAAGGCATTATTAGATTTTTGGAAAGATCCCCACTTCTGTGGTGTAAACAAATGTTTAAGCAGATCCTTTTGAAATCTTTTGCAATTTTCATTAGAAAGGCAATGTTGATAAAAGATCCGTTTTCTCTTGTATGAGTTATAAAAGGAAATTACAGCTATTTGTGTTGGACAATCTTATGAAAGATTTGTGACAACTGCACATATAATGTAAAAATAAAAACACAAGACAAAAAATAGACGACTTGGCTTTCATTTTACTTGCCAGAGTACTCTAAACAAATAGAATACTAGCTTTAAAGTCAAATATACCTTTTCCTAGGGATTTTTCTCCTTATATACTGAAATGGAAATGTCAGAGTATGTTTTATATACCATTAAGAATCAAAAATGAAATTACAGAAGTCATTTAAAAAATGAAATGACAAAATGCTTTGGTCAATAACTACCGTAAAATACTATATATGGTGAATATGAGCTGATGTGTCCTCTACTTCAGAATAACAGGAAAGTCACCCTTTAAAAAGTTAAATTATAACAATAAAATGGTAGATAGCTGCCTGCCTACCAAAATTAAATTAACAATGAATTTTTTTTTTCTGACTTCAAAAGCGATCCAGAAATTGTTAGAATTTTAATTGGGTTATTATAAAAGGCAAGCTATCACTTCAAAATTGACCACAACCTTCCCATAAGATTATATGTACCAGTCACAGAAAGTGCTTCCCAAAACATTATGACTAGTAAATGTCTCCCCATTCCTGAAACATACCATCAGAATATGGTCCCCCAAAGCCCTATTAACTGAACTAAATCCTTTCCAATACACAAGAGGAGAAACTTAAAACTTTCAGAAGTGCTGTTCAATAAACGGTTAAGTGTATACATCTAAACGGGGACGACAGCAGGAAACAAAAGGGAGAAGTTCCAAGAAAAAAAAATCTCACGATCTTTAAACCCCAGCTTTAAAAATCTACCTCCAAGGAACAATGCAAGCTATGGAAGAAAGGAAGAAGGTTAAAGAACACTGACTGCCTCTTTCTCACAGAATAGAACTGGAGTGCTTTGGCAACTTGTTGATGAACGGTGTGTGTGAAGTCGTTCAGTCGTGTCCGACTCTTTGCGACCTCATGGACTGTAGCCTGCCAGGCTCCTCTATCCATGGGATTTTCCAGGCAAGAGTACTGGAGTGGGTTGCCATTTCCTCCCCCAGGGGATCTTCCTTACCCAGGGATCGAACCTGGGTCTCCCACAGGGCCGGCAGACTCTTTACCATCTGAGCCACCAGGGAAGCCCATGAAACCATTTTTAAAGCAGAAAATATACTCCAGTCAACACTAATAAACTTTACAATTGTGAACATTCACGTTAAGAATATTTTTACTCATGTTCTGAAAATTGATCTTTTCTTCTACACTAGTGAACAAGGTCGGGTGGGAAAGGGGTGTTCTCTCCACTCAAGCTTGAACTTCCTGTCTGAATTCTAATTCTTCAAGAACTTCTGGCTTCCTCTCTCAGTTGTCATGATCCAGGTTTCACTTTAGGCAAGCAAAGTTCTTTTAGGTTTACCTGACTGTACGCTGAGACCGCTACTACTACTTTCTTTGGGGGGATGTTAGCCGACTTAATCGCCTGCAGCTCTCACCTGCATTTGCTGTTTGAAAAGGGCCACGAGAATACTACAGAGAGGTCTGAAGGCACCGGCTGCCTCCATGCCCGCAATGGCTTTTCAGTTACCACTACTAACCAGGGGACAGAACTGAAGGCTTTGACATGAACGCGTCACGCGACCAGCAGGCTGTCCCCGGCCCCTCTTTGAAACAAAATCCCACAAATACCACTTACCTTGTATGACGTGCTCTGGCGAGATGGTTTTCTTTTCCGATTTGTTGCAAATCTCATTGGCTTCAGAAGATATAAGGTGAATGAATTCAGTGCAGCAGTTCACCACCAGCTCCCGGGCATCGTTAGCCACCCGGACATTGGGGAGAGTCTCTTTGATCATCTTATTGATAGCAGCTCTGGGTATAGTGAGATCATCATCGTTGCCAGATGAGGAAGCCATCGCACCTTCTCTCTCGCGCCCCGACTTTTAAAAACTCAACTCTGGTCCACGACGATTTTTCAAAAGGCCGCCCTCGGAGAGCGATCCAGGAGTCCCTCTGAGATGAGCGTGCAGAAAATTAAGGGGCCAGGGGCGGCTGGAGAAAGAGGGGTACACCCGTGTGTGTGAAAGATTTAAGCCGAGGTTGGGAGCAAAGTTGGAGTGGCCGGGGGGGTAGGGGGTGCTGAGGATTCTGGGGACAGCACTGCCCACGTCGGAGAGGGGAAAGCAAGGTGGTCCGGAATCTGAGCAGTGGATAACCCCCTTCGTGTCCCCTCAGTGGGGCGTGCGCTGTCTTCTAACCGTTCCCCAACGGCGCGGAGCAGAGGCAAGGTCCGGGGGCACTGGTCTGGCAGCGGAACAGGGCGGACACTCAGTGGGCAAGGCTCTACAGAACCGGAGCCCCCGCTGCCGCTGCCGCCGCCGCCGCCGCCAGCAGCCGATGCCCCCGCCTCGGCCAAACCATCCTTCAGACACCCGCGCCGCCGCCTCACAACATGTCGGCCGCAGCCGCTGCCGGAACCGGGACGGTCTCCTGGGAACGAATACGGACAGAACCAGGCACAAGGGGGCCGGCGGCGGCGTCTACTGTGACCGTTTAGCCCGAACGCAGATCGTGGAAGCCGAAGCCACCCCAAGGGTGGTCCCTCCAGAGGCCAGAGAAGGTTTACTGGAAGCCTCTCCCGATACCCTTTGCGCTACCGGAAGCCTCGCCCCCACACGTTACCCTCCCCCCCCACTTCCAGACCAACTTCCGGGTGTGGCAGCCGCCCTTCCCCCACCCTGTCCGGCGGGAACCGCCCGTCTTCTCCGCCAGCAGCTTCCGCCTGCCGCAGTCCCGGCACGCGTTCTGGGATCCCGCCCCTTCCCAGGGATAGTGACCGGGCGAGCGCGCGCCTCGCGGTACCGAAGACACCCGAGCACGCGCCAGGGCTTCGGCACCAGACGCGGGTTGTGATGGGTTGAGGTGGGTGGGTGAACTGGCTAGGGTGGATCGCTACCACTACCTTCTCTCAGCCAGCTGAGGCCTCGGAACCCTTTCTTAGCCACCTTTGTAGACAAAGGAGCGCTGGATTTCGTTCAAAGAACTTTGCTAACGTTAGGAGCCCGAATTGAGATTGAATGGAAAAGGAGCGAAGTCCAGGCTCGGGAATGGGATGTGGGAAAAGGAAAACTGTTTTCCTGGGTCTGCGTCGTCCGGAGGAAATAGCTGTTGATGATATCTAATAGAATTTATTCGGACCAAAGCTCTCTATGGTCCTCCACCCATTTTCTGGGTTTATGGGAAATGAAACAAGTGACAGCCACTACTAATTAACAGCTAAGCTGGAAACTAAAAATAAGATCCAACGTAGTGGAGAGGCATAGTCTACAATGAGCCAAATTACAAGGTTCCAACTTAGACTTTTTCCGTGATGTATTGGTTCTGATAAGGTGGGGAAAAGTGGGTTAAAGTGTATTCAGAAACTGATTTTCTCTCCTTTCCAGGGAAACAAACGTGTGACAAGTTCTTTACAAAAATTGCATTTTTTTTTTAAGTAAGTTTGCCATAACGTCTTTTTGAAGAAGAGGCTGTGTTAGAGTGTTGCAGTTTCTCAAAAGTAAAAGAGATAACATTAAAATCAGTTTAGGCACTTTAGTTAATAATATACAGTTGTACATACTTTGGCAGCAACTGGCTTGTTTGAAATGTTTTCTTAAAGTTTTGTATTTCAGTGTACGACCCTAGATGTGGCATCTTGAGGAAACCATACTTGTTCTTTTTTCTTTTTTTTTAGCGTTTTCTCCATTACACTTGCAGGTTCTTTAATTTCTGCAGTGTAGACATTTGTTTCTTAGCATTACTGAGTTTAGTCAAAATAAAATGTCTTTGATAAAATATTTTAAACATTTTCTGCAAAATAGGAATGTGAAACTGTTGGCTCAGATGTAGGCCTATGAAAGAGTTTCCTTCCTATATATCTTGTTTCCTTTCTACATGCTTGTTTGTTTCCTACATAACTTCATAATATTCTTCTGGAAATCTGATTTTTGTTCTTCACAACTCGAAAGGGTCCAGCTTGCAATGAAGAGTACCCCTGCCACCACCACAGCTAGAGAAAGTCTACTCCCTGGAAGACCCAGCATAGCCAAAAATAAATAATAATTTTAAAAAATTACAAAAGGAAGTGCTGCAGATGCAGTGAGCTTCTGGTTTGTTCATCCCTCTATCCCTGGGGCCTCACAGATCCTGCTACATAATAGGCACTTGGTAAATATTTGTTAACTCTGGAGGTGAATGAGGATCTTTAAGGATAGTAGAGTAGAAAAGAAGTCCAAAGACAAAAAGAAGAAAGTATGTCAGGGGAGACTTGTTAGAAACCAAGAAGGTACAGTGCAAAGGAAGCCACTTGGGGAATTTTTTTGTTCGTGTTTGCGCACATGTGTGCTAAGTCACTTCAGTCAAGTCCGACTCTGTGCAACCCTATGGACTGCCACCTGCCAGTCTTCTCTGTCTGTGGGATTCTCCAGGCAAGAATACTGGAGTGGGTTGCTATGCTCTTTATTTTTGGCAGCCTTGGGGCTTTGTTGCTGATGGGATTTCTTTAGTTGCCCAGAGTGGGGGCTACTCTCTAGTTGTTGTGTGTGGGGTTTATCATTGTGGTGGTTTTTCTTGTTGGTTTCTCTAGGTGTGCAGGCTTAAGTTGGAAGGGTGTGAGATGCCACAGAGAAGCATTATTGGAAGGGGATCAATCACTGAAGCAAAAGGTCAATAGGACAAGGTAGAAGTCAACATGCCAACAGTTAAGGAGAGGAATGCCTAAAAGAGCAAGGAGCACAGAACACACTTTCCAAAAGTTGAGTGGTGAAGGGAAAGGGGCAATGGAGTGACACTTGAGGAAGAAGCAGGGTCAAGAAAAAATTGCAAAGGCCAGGAGACACATAAATGTAGTTCAAAGGAAAAGAGGTGTAGATTGACAATACAAGCAAAGTAAGACTTTAAGGAAATGGAGGTGGATGAGATTGAAAGGTCCAAATAGAATGATCAGGATTAGATATACAGATCTGGGCATGTTTCATGTAACAGACTGAAGACAAGATTATTCCTTCTAGTACAGTGTTCATCTCTTGTTTGTTCTTTAGTTCTTCTAGGTTCTCTGGTAAACATTTCTTGCATCTTCTCCATTCTTTTTCCAAAACCCTGGATCATCTTCACTATCATTATTCTGAGTTCTTTTTCTGGAAGGTTGCCTATCTCTTCTTCATTTAGTTATTTTTTTCTAGGGTTTTATCTTTTTCTTTCATCTGGGACATAGTCCTCTGTATTTTCATTTTGATTTACTTTCTATGATTGTGGTTTTCCTTCTTGAGGCTGCAGAAGTGTAGTTGCCTCTTCTGTCTGCCCTCTGGTGGATGAGGCTAAGCAGCTTGTGCAAGCTTCCAGATGGGAGGGACTGGCAGTGAGAACTGGATCTTGCTCTAGTGGGCAGGGCTGTTCTTAGTAAAACTCTAATCCAGTTGTCTGCTGCTTTCAAATTGTAGTGCTGGAGAAGACCCTTGAGAGTCCCTTGGACAGCAAGATCAAACCGGTAAATCCTAAAGGAAATCAACCCTGAATATTAACTGGAAGGACTATGCCGAAGCTCCAATATTTTGGCCACCTGATGCGAAGAGCCTACTCATTGGAAAAGACCTTGATGCTAGGAAAGATTAAGGGCAGGAGGGAAAGGGGGTGACAGAGGATGAGATAGTTGGATGGCCTCACCAACTCAATGGACATGAGTTTGAGAAACTCCATGAGATGGTGAAGGACAGGGAAGCCTGGCATGCTGCAGTTCATAGAGTTGCAAGTAGTCAGACACAACTTAGTGACTGAAAAACAATGGTGACCTCCAAGAGGGCTCACACCAAGGGGCACTTCCTAGGACTGCTGCTGCTAGTGCCCCCATCCCTGCAGCGAGCCACTGCTGACCCACGCCTCCGCAAGAGTTCATCGAACACTAGCTGGTAGGTCTGGTTCAGTCTCCTGTGGGGTCACTGCTCCTTTCCCCTCAGTCCTGGCACACACACGATGTTGTTTGTGCCCTCCAAGTGTGAAGTCTGTATTTCTCCCAGTCCTATGGAAGTCCTCCAATCAAATCCTGTTGGCCTTCACAGTCAGAATCCCTGGGAATTCCTAGTCCCTTTGCTGGGTCCCCAGGCTAGGACACTCAGAACCATCACAAGAGGGGGAGAACTTCTTTGGTATTAGTGTTCTCCAGTTTGTGGGTTGCCCCCTAGGCAGGTATAGGATTTAACTTTATCGTGATTGTGCCCTCCCCCCACCATTTCGTTGTGGCCTCTCCTTTGTCTTTAGATGTGGGATATCTTTTTTTGGTGGGTTCCAGCATTCTCCTGTCCATGGTTGTTCAAAAGCTAGTTGGTGCTTTCACAGGAGATGGGCACATGTCCTTGTACCCTGCCATCTTGAACCAGTCAACCCTGAAGACAAGACTATAAGTGAGTGATTATAAACAGTGATCGCAGAAACTGATACATGATGGAGTTTAAGAAGCAGCCAAAAATGTCAAGAGTTGCAGAGAAGGGAATAAGAACTGAGAATAGATGATGTTCATCTAGTGATATTTGTAGAAGCAGTTCATGAATAAAAACCTTGGGATTCTTTCATCTATTTTATGGGTCAAATTTGTAACTGCAAATTTTAAGGTGAATAACGGATTCCTTTATCTATAGGTAATAAATTCAAGATGTGATGCAAATGTTTTTTTTTTTCAAATTATAACTTTTTGATTGTACGAGTTTAAAATCATTTGAAGCGGACAGAATTAGAAAGCCTTTCCTTATGTAAATCCAATTGTTCATTCTTGCTTGCATGAATAAATAAACAGTCAGTGAATGTTTATTGTGTATCTACCACATACTTTGCTAAGTATTTGGGACAATGGCAGTAGGTAAGAAAGACACCATCCCAGCCTTCATATTTAAAGCAATAATACCAAAGAAAGAAAAAAGCTGTATTTTGACACTTATTGGTAATAAGGGAAAAAAAGAAATCTAAAATAATACAGATATAATATAGTATACCTGTTTGAAGAATTTTTATAGAGTGATTAAAATTACTGTGTATGAAATAGCATTTTTCCTTTAATATTAAAGCAAAATATAGCATTATTATTAAAATTATATGAAAATATATATGTAAATAGCTGAATAGAAACACTGAAAACTAACATATTTGTGTTGAAATAGAGAAATTAGTGGTGATTTTACTTTTGATTTTTCTTTAAAGTTTTTTAAAAAATCTTTTTCTAGTTTTTAAATGTCTTATAGTAGCAAGTAGTGAGAAGTTTCTGTTAATTTGTAAATGTATCCATTCTTCACATACACAACAGGGCTTGATAAAGCAGTCCTTGGATTTTAAATCTTTTATCTAGAAAAGCTCTTAAACTGGTGATCCCCATGTGAAATCTAGCCCACAGATATTGTACCAATTATTTATTCCCACAATAAAATGTTGCCTAGCAAGTTACCCCAAAGGTCAGTGGATTAAAATGATAACCAGTTATTATTTCTTAGGAGTCTCTATGTTAGTTGGGCAGTTGTTCTGGAATTGGCTGGGTTTATTCATTTTCCATCTGACTCTTTGCAACCCCATGGACTGATTATACCATTCTTGGAGTTCTCCGGGCCAGATACTAGAGTGGGTAGCCTTTTCCTTTTCCA